CCCTTTTTGAATCTTTAGATACTGAAACCGACAATTTCCGAGAAGATGAGCCAGAAACTTTTGAAAATAGGTATCAATTATCTGTTCTCGGTTCACTTTTTTCCGACAATCTGAATCTGAAATAACATCCTTACAGGGATGCAGTAATAGCAGCCGTGCCCACCTATGACGATCCTTATATCAAAGTTCCGAAAGTGCTGAACAAAGAATCGTGAATAGTTGATATCGTCTGCATAACTTGTTTCGGTTTGTTTATGGTTCGTATGTTCTTCAGCAAATCCGTAGACTGTGCTTTGAACACTTACCTTGCTGTAGTATTTGTTCTGTTTTTCAGAAAACCATACATGAACTAATTAAGTGATCCTTTGTGGCTGAGAAAATCGAAAAGGTAAGTAAGGTTGATGATTTGAAAATAATCATGTGAGATTTGATCTTAAATTCAAAGATCAAGAGAAAAAAGAAAAAAATTCGGCTATAATTGACTGATTGACTCATTGATAGACTTTTCTCGTCAAGACAGTTGTATACGGAAAAAATTCAACCCAATTGGAGTTTGTTTCTCTATTTGATTTTGCCATCCAAAGTAATTTGAGTCCAAATTTATTGTTCCTGTGTATGGAACATTCTGCTGCTATCCAACGTTTGTTCAATCAGGTGACCCATATTTGGATTTATCTTGTTGAGACAGTCGTGCCCATAAAATTGCAGCCTAATCGAAGTACATTTGCTCACACAAATTTTCGTCTACAGTGATTTTACTCGTTCTGTGCTCGTACTAATTCTTGCTGGTGTTAGTTTTAGTCGAATGACTGTCATGTACTCGATTATGGAGATGAGTCGAGTAGGGTGAAGTGAAAGGGGCCTCTGCTTTATATATATCCGGGCCTAGTTAGTATTATGTTACTTTGGGTTTATTAGTAGTTGTGTTTTGGGCTTTTTTATCAGTAGTATAATTGGGCCATTATGAGATGTAGTAGTTGTTAAGTGGGTTGATGTTATTAGACTCAATTGGAGACCTATGAGTGGTTATTAAAGGGGAGAAACACGTGACATGAAGTAAGATTGGAATGCCAAAAATTATTTCTCACTCTCTCAATTTCTCTCTCCTCTAATATTCTCTCTCTCTCCCGTATCTCTCTCTGTATCTATCTCCCTCCCCAACTTTCATCTCCCTCATCTATCTACAGAAAATACAGAAAAAAAACATAAAATTACGAAGATCTTAACAATGACTTGGCTGTTCTCACTCAATTTTCCATCTGAAGTTTATGTGCACAAACTCAATTTTTGGGTCGTGCCGAGTCTAGTTAAATTCAAATAATTTGGCCTTTATAATTATCACACCCCATGATTTGCATACCTGTTTTCCATGCTTTGACAAATTATTAGTCACATTAAGTTAGATGTTTGTCAGTATAGGATACATCTTCTGAAAAAAATCAATATAATGGACAAATATTTAGCATCACAACTATATATGTTTAACTAGTGTTGGAAACAAAAATCACCATAACTGATATGAACACGAAAGCTTAAACAAGGAGGTGAACTCCACAAACGGGAAAAACGAATATTCTTGCTATGATTTCAGTAGTGGTAAAGTCTGGTACAATGAGGATATTTATATCCTATCAAGAAAGATCTAGATCCTTAAAGGATAATGACCAACTCAATGATGAGTTGTCCATGTATAGCTACAATCCAAAACTCTCTAACAAACTCCAAAAGAAGCCAAACAAAACGGCTAGTGTGATGTACTATCACAGTACAAGGTCAGGCACGTGCATGGTGTGCATGTGAGCTAAAATAATAATTAATATGGATTAATTAATGTCTACTAATCTAACAGTCCCCCCTCAATTCGAGCGAGCTGAGAGGAAGAACTCGAAGTTTGTTGCGCATGCGAGAGAAGAATTGCCCTGTGAGAGGTTTTGTCAAGGAGTCTGCTGTTTGGTCGATGGATGGAATGTGTAAGACTGATATTGTCTTGTTGAGGACTTTTTCTCTGACAAAATGAAGGTCAACTTCGATGTGCTTTGTCCTCCCTTGAATGACTGGATTGCAAGACATGAAAACCGTGCTGAGGTTATCAACCCAAATGGTTGGAGGTGGAAGCTTTCTTAAGTGAAGCTCGTGAAGAAGAATATTTATCCATAATACTTCTGAAACTGCAGTGCCTAAGCTTCTATATTCAGCCTCAGTGCTGCTTCTTGAGACTGTATGTTGCTTCCTTGAGCTCCAGGAGATTAGATTATCACCAATGAACACACAATAGCCTGATGTTGATTTTCTGTCATCAGGATCTGTAGCCCAATCCGAGTCAGAGAATGCAGAAATGTGAAGATGAGAAGACTTGACAAATGAGAGGCCATAGTCTGCAGTACCAGCAATATATCTGAGAAGCCTTTTCATAGCTTTCCAATGTGGCTCAAGTGGAGATTGCATGAATTGACTCAGCTTGTTGACTGCATAAGTGATGTCTGGCCTTGTGATGGTCAAATACTGAAGACACCCTATGAGTTGTCTATATTGGAAAGGATCTGATAAAGGATTTCCATTGAACTTTGACAGGCCTGGAGAACTGATCATAGGAGTGCTGAGTCCCTTGGAGTTTTTCATGTTAGCCTTATCAAGAATCTGAGAAGTGTAATTTTGTTGAGTGAGCAGCATGCCATTGTTGGTGTAGTGTATCTCCATTCCAAGAAAATGGTGCAAAGTTCCCAGATCCTTCAGAGAAAACACTTTTGATAAAGATAGAATAACATTGTCAATGAGATTGCTGCAGCTTCCTGTGATCAAAATGTCATCTACATAAACTAGGATATAGATGATGTGACAAGCAGTGGCTTTGATGAACAGAGATGTATCTGCAAGAGATGATTTGAAACCCAAAGCAATGAGAACATGAGTCAGTTTATCAAACCAAGTTTTGGAAGCTTGCTTAAGACCATAGATGGCTTTGTGAAGTTTGCAGCCATAGCCAATTTGCTTATGAGTTTCAAACCCAGGTGGCTGCTCCATGTATATCTCTGTGGAAGGATCAAGCTCTCCATTTAAAAAGGCATTATCCACATCTATCTGTTTGATTTTCCAGCCCTTAGTCAAAGCAATTGAAGGATAAGTCTGATGGTCACTGGTTTAATGACTGGACTGAAGACCTCAGTGAAATCAATGCCTGCCACCTGTGTGTAGCCCTTTGCAACTAATCGTGCCTTGTACCTGGAAATGGTCCCATCTGCATTATGTTTGACTTTGAACACCCATTTGCACCCTATGGGCTTTCTGTCTGGTGGCAAGGAAACAACTGTCCAGGTTTTGTTTTTGACAAGAGCTTGATACTCAGTTTCCATAGCTTGTCTCCAATGAGGAATTGATAGTGCTTCTTCAAGGGTTTGAGGTTCCTCTGTTGGAAGAGCACAAGAATAAACCTTGGGTTTGAATATCCCCCTCTTGGATCTGGTGACCATATGATGAAGGGATTGATCTGCTGCATGATTCTCTTCCTGTTGGACTGGAGGACTAGAAGTCTCCACATTGGTTGTGCCATCTTCTGTGTGAAGTGGTGTAGTGGCAGGAGAGTCTTGTGTGTTGTGAGTATGGTGTGTGGAGGTGTGAGGTGAATGCAAAGGGGTGACAGTTTGATGTGTGTGTGTGGCTGAATGAGTCTGATTTTGTGAATGTGTTGTGTTTGAAACTCCATTTGATTGTGTATTGATATGCAAAGGTGGTGATGCAGAAAAACCAGAAACATCATAATGTTGCTCAATATGCTTCAGATCATTAGTTTTCTTATAAGGGAAACAAAACTCATCAAAAACCACATTTCTAGAAATAATGATCTTATCATTCACTAACACTTTGTACCCTTTGAATTGAGAACTGTAGCCTAAGAAAATTCCTGGTGTTGATCTCAGATCCAACTTATCCTTATTGTAAGGTCTCAAATGGGGAAAACATTTGCAGCCAAAGGTCTTAAGGTGTTTATAATTGGGATTCAAGCCATAAAGTCTGTGATAAGGTGACTGGTAGGATATAGTTTTATTTGGGATCCTGTTGATAAGGTATATGGCTGTGGAAAAAGCTTGTTCCCAGAACCTTTTTGGAACATTTGAAGCTGACATCATGCTAAGGGAGACTTCTATGAGTTGCCTATGTTTTCTTTCTACCAACCCATTTTGCTGAGGGGTATATGGACAGGAAATTTTGTGGTGAATTCCTTTTTCTGAAAACAATGTTGTTAAGGGTTTGAACTCAGTCCCACCATCACTTTGAATGGCTTTGATTTTATGGTTCAACTGATTTTCAACTAGGTTTTGAAAGTGGACAAAGGCTTTGTAAGTATCTGATTTTTGCTTGAGGAAATACAACCAAGTGAACTTTGTATAGTCATCAACAAAAGCCACATAGTAACTAGCTCCTGAAGTGGATTTTATAGGGGCTGGACCCCACAGGTCGGTGTGAATGAGTTCAAGAGGCTTTTCAGTGTTATGAGTAGCAGTAGGAAAAGGCAAAACATGAGACTTTGCTTGAAGACAATCAGAACAAAGAGTTATTTTATTATTAGCATAAGGCAGATTACATGCTTCAAGAGCTCTTTTGGTAACATCATAAGATGGATGACCTAACCTCCTATGCCATAACTCTAAATCATTAACTGAACTAGCAAAATAACTAAATTTCTTGAGGCTTCTGTCCTCTTGATTCAAAGACTGGGATAAAGAAAGCTTAGGATTCTTCATTTTCATCTTGAAAGTGTATAGACCATCCTTAAGAGTTCCCTTGAGAAGAGGTGTTCCTGTGTGCTGGTCCTTCACAACACAGAAAGTGGCAAAAAATTCAAAGAAAACATTGTTATCTTTAGCAAATTGAGCAACACTAATGAGATTCTTAGCTATTTCTGGGACATGAAGGAGGTTATTCAATTTGAAAGTATGCTGTGAGTTTGTGAGAAGTGCCTTACCAACATGTGAGATGTCTAGTCCTGTCCCATTACCAATTTGCAGCTTGTTGTTTCCATTGTAGTCTGAGGCCACACTTAAGTTGCTGAAGTCATTGGTTATGTGGTGAGAAGCTCCTGAATCAGGGAACCAGTCACTCTCACTTTGGCTGCTACCTGAAGCATACATGGCAGATGTTTGTCCAATGCTCCTATTATCATTGAAGTTTCTCTGATTAGAGTTGTTGGGGACAAATTCTGCATTGAACCTGTTGTAGCACTTATCAGCCGTGTGATTGGTATAGCCACAGATCTGGCACTGAACTCTATTTTGAGTTGATCTTCCTCCTCTTCCTCTTGTCCCTCTACCTCTACCTCTATATCCTCCTCTTCCTCTCTGGTTACTGAAACTTTGAGGTGCTTTGCTCACTTGCGAGGCTAAGTTGGCAGAGGGCAGATTGGAGTTCTCAGCAACAACTGCAGCTGCTTCAAGTCTACTCTCATAGGTGAGCAAAAGGGACATCACATCCACAAGGGTAAGTGTTTCTGCTCTTGCATTGACACTTACAACAACAGCATCATACTCTGAACCCAAACCACTCAAGATATGCATAATCTGATCTTGCTCAGAGATGGTATGTCCTCCTGCAGCTAAGGTGTCACAGCACACTTTGATTTTGTTGACATACTCCCTTATACTGAGATTCCCTTTCTTGAGGTTTTGAAGTTGGATTCTGAAGTGCATGGTCCTTGCTCTTGACCTTGTTGAGAAAGATGCTTCAAGGGCTTTCCAGATCTCAAAGGATGTGTTCAAACCAATCACCGAGATTAAGATGGATTCAGATAATGAGGAGAGTAGCCATGAGGCCAATAATTGGTCTTGCCTCTGCCAGCTCACATAGTCTGGATTTGTTTGAAGCAGTCCCTCCTCTGATCCTGGAATGAATCTGGTGGGTTGAAGGTTAGATCCATCGAGAAAGCCTTCTAGGCCATATCCTCTAGCTGTGGTCAGAACTTGTTGCCTCCAAAGGAGATGATTTTCATCTGTGAGTTTGATTGAGAGGAGCTGGTTATGGAGAGGTATAGGTTGAGATGAAGAAGATGACTGGCTATTCTGAGAGGAGGTTGGGGTTTCTGCCATGGCTCGATTCACAGGAATAGAGGATCTCTATCCCTGCTCTGATACCATGTTGGAAACAAAAATCACCATAACTGATATGAACACGAAAGCTTAAACAAGGAGGTGAACTCCACAAACGGGAAAAACGAATATTCTTGCTATGATTTCAGTAGTGGTAAAGTCTGGTACAATGAGGATATTTATATCCTATCAAGAAAGATCTAGATCCTTAAAGGATAATGACCAACTCAATGATGAGTTGTCCATGTATAGCTACAATCCAAAACTCTCTAACAAACTCCAAAAGAAGCCAAACAAAACGGCTAGTGTGATGTACTATCACAGTACAAGGTCAGGCACGTGCATGGTGTGCATGTGAGCTAAAATAATAATTAATATGGATTAATTAATGTCTACTAATCTAACAACTAGACATGTAGATGTGGAAGTATTTTTTGATGCTAAAATGTTTGATTTAGAAGAGATATTACAGCTAGCTTTAATTTGTGAACAATATGTAAACACATTCAATATCCATATGGACACATTTAGATTGGACCCCATTTGCAGTCTGTGTCATGAACCAACCCATTTTGGATTACACCTGCTTGTAGTGCGTGCAGTCACGTGCGTTTAGCCACATATTTCAAACACATTTATAAGGTGTGTGTAAACGTATAGTGAAAGAAGAGCAAAGTGGCCTTGAATTGATGTATCCAGTCATCATATCATGTATGTTCGGTCGTGAGATCAAATAATCCATGCATTTCATGACGTGCTTCCAAAACAGTAGGCGCCACAAACTTAA